TCTGACCTTTTGGTCAGCAGCACCATCAGTGCGCCATACCCCAGAGAGACAGATATAACTGTATGTTGGTTTTCAATACGTTAGCTACTGTCAAGTCAAATACAACTGAGAGATCCTGTGAACAACAGATCTGCACCCTGCCCTATCCTGTGCCTTCTTCGTCATCTCTGACACACTGTTGCTACAATCACCATGTTAACCCATCTTATTGAGGGTCTTCCTCTCTTTGACTGACTTTCCACTTTTCCAAGCATGATGTGTCTCTCCAATTAATAGCCTCTCCTAGAAACAGGCCCAAAGTATGTGAGATGAAGTTTTGTCATCTTTGCCTCCAGGAGCACCCTGACAGCCTCTCTTCAAAGCATACCTGTTTGTTCTTTTGGCAATTCATTAAATATTCAGTACTTTTCTCCAGCATCACAGTTCAAAGGCATCAGTACTTATTCTGTCATGCTTACTCACTATCTAGCTCTCAAATGCATTGCAAATGATTAAAAAGAACATGGCCTGAATCAGGCACACATTGGTCTTCAAATTGACATCACTGCTCCTCTAATTGCAAAGGTTCCTGACCTCTCTGATAGGAAAGAGAACTGCCAAGTTCCATATGTCTTCTTATTTTTCTGACTGCTGGGTAACAAGAGTATCAATTGTGGATCCAAGTAAGAAGAAATAGTTGACAATTTCAGACCTTTCTCCATCTATTATTATGTTGCTTATGGGTCCAGTGGTAAGAATTTTTGAATTCTGGTTGTTGAGGTGTAACCCGTATCAAAGGTTGTAGTCTATGATCTTCTACTGCAAGCGTTTCAAGTCCTTACTTTTGGCAAGCAAGATTATGTCATTTGCATAACACACATTGCTGATTAGGCTTCTTCCTATGATCCTGATGCCATGTTCTTCTGCATAGAGTCCAACTTCTTGAGTGATTTGCTCAACACACAGATTGAATAGGTTTGGGTAAAGGATAGAATCTCAAAGCATACTTTTCCTGATTTTAAAGCATGCAGTGTTCCCTTGCTCTGTTGCTGCAGAAGAAACATTATTAATAAGAATTCTCGTATCCTCTGGATTGTTTATATAAAAAAGCACTCCTATTTTTGCCTATATATATCCAAATCAGTAAATTTGGATCTTAAAAAGTTAATGATTCTTATCCTGCTGAGGAAGAAAAATGACTTGGTTAAAACAAAAACAAAACCAGTCTCCCAGCCTACATACATTTTTATCTGCATGATAAACTCTCAGCAGTTTTCTCTGCTTTTATGGCTATTGTGGAGAAGTTCTGTTTGCTGACAGGAAACAACAGAAGCTTGACAAGGCACAACCACCAACAAACACAGGGAGGCCTCTTTTCAGCTGCTGTGCAATGGACTCTGATAACTGAATGTGATTCCTCTCTGATTCTGCTTGACATTCTTAGGAACCCGGGACTTGGTGATTTATCCAGCTATGGTAGAGAACACGTGACACGAAGCAGAGACAAGCCTGTTTCCTCTATGGACGCAATAATTACCTGAAAGAAGTAACACAGTTGAATGGAATCACTTACCATTTTTTAAGAAGTCCTTTGTACTTGCTAAGCAATGAACCCTCTTCTTTCTCCCATGAATACTCCTTGAAAGGAGTCCAAGTATTTTCCTAAAAAAGGCTTAGCTTCCCTGAAAGACAAGATCTCTGTGGGGACCAGACAGTGTGTCTGGTTCAAGGGCTCAGGGGACCCCAACAGAGAACCTGGTCCTTGCAACTTTGCATCCAGACCCTTAAAATCACTCAACTTCACTGTCAGTGGATCGTGTATTTTAAATGTTTGGCCAGCTCTGCAGGACAGCTGTGAGAAATGGGATTGACTTGAAAATGGATAATAACAAACTCTGCTCAAGAAGAAACCAATCTGTCTTCGAAGTAGTGAAGCCAGAGTTCTCCTCGGAAGTGAGGATGGTGAGACTTTGGCTCACATTATTTCAGACAGATTATCCAGAAGGGCCAATCCCTGGAGAGGGACATCACCCTTGGAGAAGTTGAGAGTCAGTAAAGGAGAGGAAAAGCCCCAATGAGATGGATGGACACAGTGACTACTTCAGTAGGTTGAGCACTGCGGGGGTTGCTAGGATATTGCCAAAGCAGCCAGGGGTTTGATCGGTTGTACATGGGATTGCTCTGAGTCAGAGCAGAATCAAGGGCTCCCAACAGCAAACTCCTATCTTGTGCCTCTCAAGGAGATTCGAACTTTGAACACAGTTAAAGAATGTGGAAATCCTAAATTATATGATGAAAAGAAGGAGCCCTGCCCACACAACTGATAGGTACTTGGCTGCAAAACATAAGGTTGGGGGTTTGAACTCACCCAGCCACTCTGTAGTAGGAACCTGGTGATTTTCTTCTATGGAGGGTACAAGCCAAGAAAACTATGTCAGGCAATTGTACTCTGTGAATCTTAGGAAGCAGATTCAGGAGTGCAGGAAAACAAGAATGAAAAGAACTACTCTCAGGCAAAAAAAAACAAAACAGAGAAGAGGGTTCACCATGATTATTGTGAAGGGGACTGTAGTTCCCACAAGTTGACAAAAAGTTATCAGCAAAGAGAAGAGACTTGAGTCCTACCCTGAGCCAGTCTCACTGACTCCGACTCCTACCCCCATTGTCCTAGTGAATCCGTCTCATCCAGGGTCTTCCTCTCCTGCACTGTCCCCCCACCCTTCTGAGCATGATGTCCTTCTCGAAGGATCAGTCCCTCCTGTCCACATGCCCAAAGTTTGTAAGATGGAACCTCAAAATCCAAGCCTCCTATGATGCTTGGTTTCACTCTCTCCAAGACAGTCCTATTGGTTTTCTTGGTGGTCCATAGTATGTTCAAGACTCTTCTTTAACACCACAACTCAAAGGCATTGATTTTTCTTCTGTCATTCTTAGTCATTATGAATTGAAAATAATTGCTAAGACCATGGCTTGGATCAGGCAGGCCACACCTTAGCCTCTAGAGTGACATTGTTGTTACTCAGTACTCTGGAGAGGTCTCTGACAGCAGATTACCTAATGTAATTATAGTCATTTGATTTTCTGGCTGCTGGTACCAAGAGTCTTGATTGTGGAGCCAAGCAAGCTGTAACTATTAACAACCTCAATCTCTTCTCTATCCATCATGGTGCTGCTAGTTGTTCCAGTGGAGAGAATCTTTTCTTGATGTTGAGCTTCAACCCAACTGGCGATTATAGTTCTTGACCTTCTGCAGCAAGCACATCAGGTCCTCCTCAGTTTCAGCAAGCATGGCTGTGTCATCTGCATAATGTAGGTTGTTGATGAGTTTTCCTCCAATCATAATGCCACATTCCTCCTCATAAAGCCAGCCTCCAAATGACCTGTTCTGTATATAGATTGAAAAGGTATGGAGACAGGATGCATCCCTGATGCAGTCCTTTCCTGATTTTGAATCATACAGTGTTTCCCTTCTCTGTTCTTAGGACTGTTTCCTTGTCCAAGTACAGGTTTCACATAAGCACAATCAAGTTTTCTGGGATTCCCATTCTTAAGATTCACCACAATTTTTTTGTGATACACACACTCAAACGTCTTTGCATAGTCAACGAAACACAGATAGATATCCCGCTGATATTCTTTGCTTTCTGTCAAGATCCATCTGACATTGACGATGATGTCTCTAGTACCATGGCTTCTTCTAAACCCAGCTTGTATTTATGGTAGTTCTCTGTCAGTGTACTGTTCCAAGAAATCTCATTCATATAATTAATCCCTATGTAAACATTACAAGAAAAATGAGGCATAGAAAGTTAATTTCCCAAAATAAACCTGGGGGCGGGGCGAGGCTAGGATTTGAACCAAGGCTATCTGGCTCAACAGCCTGTGCTACTTACTAAGATGTGTCGCTTCTCAGAGATAAGAAGTTAGGAAACAAAATGTGCACCAGCCACTCTGATGGATACTTTGCAGGTTTCTATCTTAATGTGCAGAGAAGCTTCCAGAGGGCTGATAACCCACCCGACTGACAATAAGCCACTGCCCAGTTCTCCAGATATCATAATGATTAGTTCATTTCTAATGGCTGTAATTTCTAATGTTGTTAAGTGTCATCAAGTTGACTACAATTCACAGCAACCTTAAGACCAACAGATGTGACCCTAGCCCTATCCTACACCATCCTCATGAACTTGGTACGCCCCAGTCCATTATTTTAGTCACTGTGTCCATTTATCTTGTTGAGGGGCCACCTTTCCCAGAACCATATACGGATCCAAAGTAAAGGAGATGAAATTTCCTGATCCTTCTCTCTGAAGAGCAGCCTGGTTGTACTTCCTCCAAGGCAGACATGTTTTGTTCTTTCAGCAGTCCATTCAGTATTCTTTGTCAAAATGACAATTCAAAGGCCTCAGTTCATCTTCTGTCATAGTATAAAAGAAACACACTCATTCAGTCTCATTCCATGTCATAACAGGTCTTATTTTGGTTTATTTCTCTGCAATCCTGTTTTTTTTAATGAGACTCTAAGATTCCTGAGTGGTGTAGTGTTAAATGTATGTGGCTCTAATTGACAGGTTGGAAGTTCAAATCCCCTCAGAGGCCTCTGGATAGAGCGCTAGGAGGGCTTTGAGAAATCAGCTGTGGAAAATCCTGCAGAGTACAGCTCTTCCCCACACATGTTATGTCATTCATTATTAGTCAGACCTGAAGCAGTAGCAACTATTTTTTATTTGCTTTTGTATATATAAGATAAATGCAGTTTGGCATCCAACATTAAAAGTCTTTATCATGTTTTTATACATGGTTTGTAATTGATTTTTAAATTGATAATATTTCCATTTCTTTGAGGATTTTTAATTAGAAAGACTTTGAATTCTCTAAGAATTGTTTGGTAGAGAGATGCAATCTAAAATTTCTCCTTTTTTTCTTTTAAAGACACTTTGTGCTAGAACTTTGCTGATAAAAACATTCAGCAGCCAAAGCTGATTTTCAAAATGCTCTTTCCTTGTTTTTCCTCTTAACAGGGATCTACCGCACAGAAAAAGATAAAGGCACTTTGTATGAGCTTACGTTCAAAGGGGACCAAAAACATGAGTTCAAGCGGCTCGTCTTGTTTCGACCATTTGGCCCTATCATGAAAGTGAAGAAAGAAAAACTCAACATGGCCAGCACACTTATCAACATCATCGTGCCGCTGGCCAGGAGGGTGGACAAGTTCCGGCAGTTCATGCAGAATTTCAGGTTTGTTCTTCTGCGCGTGTCTGTCTTCCTCTATGTGGTGTGTGAGAGAGCACTGATACCATTTCCCTTATTGCCACTCCAGGTACAAAGGCTTCTTTCTCTTCTTGTTCAACTCTGTTTTCTTCATATTGACTGTTTGCATTTGCCTTTCCCTCAAGCAATTATCAACTCCTCGGTGAGCATATTTACCCTCAGGAGTGAAAACTAGGAAGGACTGGTTTTTAATCAAGATTTTAAAAAATGACCTAATGCCTGCTGGTGTTCAGCTCTGGGAGTCCTTGGGTGGATCTAATGGTTAAATGCTCCACCATCAGCTGGAAGCTTGCTAGTTTGAACCTACACAGCATGCCTTCAAGGAAAGCTGTGGCAGCTTACTTTGAGAAGGTTGCTTGTTTTGATTTTTGGTGTTTATTTAACATTTTTTTGATTGGTTTGCATCATTCATGCACGCCCTGTTTTACACATGGACTTTGAGTTTTGTACAGTCATTTCATATATATATTTGTTGTTGTTATGTGCCATCGAGTCGTTTGCGACTCAAAGCGACCCTATGCACAATAGCCCTAAACCCTGCTCTATCCTGCGCCAACCGCACTGCCTCTGACACACCCATCCCGATT